GCTAGGACCGCGGTTCAACTTAAATCTGACAACGCATCTGTAATATGGTTTGCTATAAATAACACGTAAAACAGTGTTCGGCTAATATATGTTTCTGTTGATGGATACGCATTCTGGCTTCCCAATACATTACAACAGCAGCGATGAACAAAAAACTTGAACAAACAAGTCGCTCTTTTTCAGTGCGTATATTGAGTTCTCTTTAAACTCTTTTGTGTTTGAATGAACAAATTCACACACAAATAATGTCAACATGGCCAGCTTGGTAAGCTAGCAGACGTAGTCGGCCGAACATACACTCTCTTAAAGCGACAGCACTTTTTTTTATGTTAATCAAACAACAAAAGACAAGGAAATCACTCATTGCTCTTGATTTAATAGCTTTTGTAATATTACTAAGGATTAATCTTTAATTTATACAGAAAAGATGTGATGTTATTTTACATTTGATTACTTAATTCAATTTCTGTACTAAACTAAAAAACCTGAAAAGCACTGCTTATTTTATTCGTATCTTTGCTATATTGTATTTATTTGTGCTGTTGCTTGCAGTTAGATCATTTGTTCTTATTTTCTTTATTTTTATTTGACAGTATAGTCCTTTTTCCCTAAACATAGCACATACCGAACCGTAGTACACACACACACATATATATATATATATATATATATATGTATATGTGTTCAAGAATGAATTAAACTGATCAAAAGTGACAGTAAAGACAGAATGTTACAAAATTTGAAAATTCTATTTCAAATAAATGCTGTTGTTTTGAACATTCTATTCTTCAAAGAATCCTGAAAAATGTATCACAGTTTACGTAATAATCAGAAATGTTTCTTGAGCAGCATATTAGAATGATTTCTGAAGATCATGTGACACTGAAGACTGGAGGAATGATGCTGAAAATACAGCTTTGATCACAGAAATAAATTAAATTTTCACATAGAAAACAGACATTTGAAATTGTAATAATATTTCACAATATTGCTGTTTTTTTTTAATTGTAGTTTTGATAAATGCAAATAAATGCAGCCTTGGTGAGCAGACGAGACTTGATTCAAAAACATTCAACCCCAAACTTGGCTGACTGACAAACACACTTGCAGAGTAAATGCATAATCACTGCCGTGCATCAAGAGATTTTTTCATGTGTATCACTCAGCCCTGTTTGTGCACTCTTTTGGTAAAGATAAGTTTTTTATGCTTGTGATTGTCTCTCTCTCTCTCAGCGTTCGGGGCCGTGTTACAGGGAAGTCTGTTTGGTTTGGTGGGTTTGTTCCCGCAGAGGTACAGCACTGTCTTTATGAGTGGACAGGGACTCGCTGGGACATTTGCTGCTCTTGCAATGATCTTCACCATCGCAAGTGAGACGCTAATATCATTGAGATACTAGTTTAGTTCTTATTAATATCTTGAACAAGTTTTTTTTTGTGTGCATATTTTCTGTTTTTGATATTTTAATTTTAGATAATGTTTTTAGTGTTTTTGACCTTTCCATTTGGTCATTTGAAAAAATATTTCTATATAGTTACTATTTTACAAATGAGATTAAGGTGGGACAAATTTTTAATTGTGACATTTCTCCCCTTTTGCTAATTTAACTACACAGTGATTCACTACAATAAACATTTCGGATGTGAGGAACATCTCATGCATTTCTGTATAGATCTGTTCACTTTGTGTGTGTGTGTGTGTGTGTGTGCGTGTGTGTGTGTGTGTGTGTGTGTG